ATACTTGGAGGAGGCTTTCAGCCTTTTACAAGATCTCGTCCAAGGTGACCAAAGGGGTTTCACTGATGGATGGAGCATTCAGAAGAGAATACAGAAGACACCACAGGTACAAGGTGATCCAAGCTCACAGCCATTTGCATTCAAGGAAGACTCCCCAACCAGTCTACCCAACTCTAAGTGCCTATTTCTCTCTTAGTCTACAGTCATCCCTCTTTGTTGTAAAACATGACAATATGTCAAAAAGCACTGCTGCATTCTTTTATAATGGCCTTGGAACAAATAACCAAGACAAACCAGTGGGAAGAAGTTAAGCTAGGCTTCCTTTGTTTCTGGCCAAATAACTAAAATTCCTGATGTTGCTAATTTAGTCAATTTTTGAAGTCATTAAAGCCATTCGCATATGAACCATGGCTTTGGAAAAGGCTGAATATTCTAGTGTGAGGTGCACTTAGATCTTTATGATCTATATCTCATATCCAAGGATATACAGTAACATGCTCATGGGAAAGCTATGTTATATCATAACTGTCATAACACAGAAGTGTGGCTATGGGACCCGTGGATGCAACCTGAAAATGAGATCACTTATTTAGTGCTGTAAATATAAATGTGGGCATCTAATATTAGGCTCTCAAAGTTTTAACTACAATTCTTTGCATTTAAAATATATCCACCTTGCTCAAGACCTTAGGAAAAGGTGGTTGATAGGAGTTCAGCTGTGGGAATGTTACAGTCTCAGCCTTGTACAGGGAGAACCCATATGCTACAACCTTTAACAGGGCCCACAGCTAACATATTCATATAAAAGCAAGGACTGAGTAATTCCCTTCCTTGTCCCTTGTCCCACACTCCCAACTCTCCCATAACAACCAGCTGACTGAAAACAAAGTCTTGCTCACCTCCATGTTCTGCCATATATATGTGCTAATTTCACTCTATGAATGTCCCTGCCACGCTCCCATCCAAAGGAGCTATGCAGATGGAAAAGCAGGAGTGGCAGAAACAATGTGTCGTAGACCAAACCAAGAATCCAGAGCCCCCCACCCCACATGGAAACACGTGCCCAAGTTGCAGTAAAACCTCTCTATCCCGGATTGGCTTTGTCAGCCATCTTTGGACCCATGGATAAGGCAATCGTGGAAGACAATTGTGCTTGACTCTGAAGGCCTGTCGATGCTGATGCTGACTCCAAAACAAAAAGGAGGCCTTTGCACAGGCCCTTGAAACAAGGTATAATAACATCCTAAGTGTAAAACATATACAATACTTAGCTTATTTTTAGGTATCACCTTACGGTAGCCTTCAAACTTTATATATTCAACTGTCATTAAAATTTACAGCAGCAATTCATGATGTACCAGCTTTGTTGCAAAGCAAACAATGGGTGTACAATATTAAATAAAACACAGGCATGCAAGTAAAGCAGGATGTACAGTATTCCTAAAACATAATGGTTTACCCCATCATTTGAAGCAGAAGTACAGTTTTCATGCTTTGGCTAGAAAAGTAAAGAAAAGGTCTGAAACACCCAGCAGAATGCAGGTATCTGCAGGTATTTCCTAGGAATGATGCAAATGCTTGACATAAAATCCAGGAAATCACAACAACAGAGAGGATATTAGAAATCTCATTCAACAAAATGCAACAGAGAGTAAGAAAGCACTAGAAAATAATCTAGATTGCTTGGAATCTAGACCTTTGGAATTGGTCTCCAAAGGAGACAAAAATAACAGAATTGATAAGGTGCCTGTCTAGAGATTCTCCAATAACCACCCAAGCAGAAAGATGTAATCGTTATATATAGGTAAAAAATGTTGGATTAGTAATGTCGTCATGTATTTGATAATCAAGGGATATGAATAGGTGTGATTCTGTGGTATTATAATACCAGAAAATGTTAAGACCAAGAAGAAATATAGATTTTAATTCATGTGGTATAAACGACCTTATTTACAAAATAATTTTATATTGCATTGCTTCTATTCCAACCAGTCCCATTCCTCTCATTTTCAAGCAAATAATTGATTTTACTATCCATATAACCATTAGCATGCAGACTGTACCAGAACACGACATGGTAATGGCACGTAGAGCCCATTACAATGCCTCCCATAACTTTTAAAGTCAGTTGCCATTCATGACTATATTCACCTTCTGTGGCTATTTTCTATCTTTTTTTCCTTTTCTTGCTAATTAACTAGCAACTTTTTAAATTTAGTGTCTGGATTATTCAGGAAAATCAAGTTAAGGTGATCCAAAATTTGCCAAAATAGTGTAGACTGTGCTGCTGGTAATACAGGTGGTTTGTACCCACACATTTTGATTAAATTAAATAGATGGTATAATAAGTAAACTAACCGAAAGGACCGGTTGCAATATGGAAAATTCTACAGGTCCCATGTAATGTATCCTGTCTAATAAAATATTCGTAGCAGAATGTTAGATCAAGGTCCTTTCTCCTTTTTCATACTAACAATAACGTTACTTACTACCACCACCCTATACAACTTTGCTTTCCAATGCAATTGCTTTTAGTGACCAGATCTAGTGTTGAAGTGTGGATAAACAGATGCACAGAATACTGAAGTTACTAGTTACGACTACTAACCAGATTGGAGGCACTCAGCAGATCTCCGACCATGTCAGGGTAAAAAAAAATGGACTACTGCTGTCTTTACCATATACCATGTGGCGGATTATAGATTCTGCTGAGAGGTACTACTGCATTTCAGATAATGATCTCTGTTCTCCTTCAGCTTCATCGGCCAATAAATATGCCATCCTCACCTACAGATCTACCCCTTTCATTCTTTATTTAGCCTATTTACCTAGATTATTTTTTTTTAGTTTGTCTACTAGAAATGTGCATATTCTTCAGAAAGTGATGGAGACCTGCATCATTATTTATGACTTTCAAATCAACGTCTGGGTGATAGGAGGCGAAAGTCGCTCAGCTAATTACACATGCTTGATGAACTGCATAATAACAACCACTGCAGCATTGCACATTAGTTGAAGGCATGTAAATTACTGCAGTTATTCTCATTTGGAGGATATATGTGAATAAGAGGTGCTGTGGTTCAAAACACCCCGGTTCACCTCTGTTAGGTGTACTGCACCCCTATGAGGTAAAACTGGCAACACTGCAACATATGCAAAAGCATATGAATGCTTCATAAATAGTACGAGGCAAATTTCATAGCACCATCTGTGGAAAATCTATAAAACTGCACACCCAAGTAGGCCCAACTAACTGCTATACGTTAATGTTTTCAAAACTGGATGCCTTTGAGTTAGGCTCCTAAAGCCAAATGTAGTCATCTAAATAGAAGCATGATGGTTTGCAGAGTTACTGAGAATCTACTGATATTACTAAACGTCAATGGGTGCTGTCAGCGCCTAAAAATCAGACACATGTACAAGTATGGATTTAGGAGCCTAACTCTGCCTATGAACCCAAGATTCAAAGTTTTGAGCTAAATTGGCTCTAAATTATTCATCAAGAGAGCACTTGATGCTTTCCTACAATTATTTTGGAGAATATCCTGAAGATATGTAGCCCTGGGCAAATTATATTAAAAAACTTTGGGTCATGACACACAGGCACCAGTGAATTTACCTATCATGATTCACACAATCTAAAAATTTTATGCTTTTGCAGAGGATTTAATAGGAGACCTGATTTGGATTAATGCATTATTTCAGAAGTTTTTGCTAGTGCTATTTAGCACAAAAGTACACATTTTAGACTGCACTGCAAAGTTCTCCTCTAATACAAGAAAAAGACTGAAATGTTGGAAGAGAAAAGCAGACAAAAATTGAATTTTCCAATTGTGGTATCACAATATTTTCATGTATCCCTACATGCCTAGCAAGAGATTTCTGGCTGCTGTAATCATGCAGCAAAGGAACTCAACCCTCCCTTTTTAAAATGAGAAAAAATGCTTCGTGGATAAAACTCCAGGAATGTTACCACTGTACAAGGAAACAGTGCATCTCACATATCAAATGAAGTTATGTTCTCAGTTCACTCAATCAGTTCTGTTTGGGGGTGCGTTACAGCAGCAACTTAATCCGGTACCATTGAAATCAATGGGTATAGTGTTTTGCCCCTGACTTCAATGGCAGCTGGACACAGCCAGGCCCCTACTGCATGTGCATGGCTTGCTCTCTGTGCCTTCACTCCCAACAGCCTGTAGTTTCGTTATACTGGAAGGCCACTCCTCTAAACTAAAGGATCAAAGTACAGAATGTAACTTCTCAATAAAGTCAGCACAAGGTAGATATAATCAGGTATAACTGAGTTTTTCAGCCTTAACAAATGTTATCTTCTCATCTGTTTTAAATAGGCCTTTCTTTAACTCTCTTTCTGGCTTCATTAATACAAGATACTCCCTAAATCTTTCACTTCACAGTATCAGCAAATTAGCCTTCTATGGATGTGTTGCTTCTTCTTCCTCTGCAAGGTTTTGTTTTTTCCCCCGTTTTTTTTTTCACTTTTATACATACCTCCTTTTCTACAAATTTTCTTGCCGGGTTTTCTGGCACATTCCTTGGATATTCTTTTGACTGAAAAATGAATAGAAGACTAGAAAATAACATGGAGCTCCATCACAGACAGTAGGAGCATGCAACACCACTATCTATCTTAAATATGGCCTTCTTTCATTAGGTGCGGAAGATTCCCAACTTGTTTCGCCTGCACATGCAATGGATAAGATGTTGATGCATCTTCCCAGAAGTCAGTGGGTGGAAATGAGAATTAGGTACCAACTTCAACCTAAAATACACGTGCTATGGGAGAAAAAAAAAAAAGAGTGTAGACAAGAGAAAAAAAATAGGAACAGATGGCTACACAGAAAAGCAGCATGCATACATGTAAAATGCTGGCATGCAAACAAGGAAAGCCATGCATGCTACCAGTACACATGAATTAATATTGTTAGAACTTAGAACAGGAAAATAAAAAGGTCTCCCTGTTTTGCCTGCTATTAACTCACCATCCTCAGTTGGGACATATATATTTAAATAGAGGCAGTCTTCATTCTGATCTTGTACATAGGTAGAAACTACATCCAAGTTATTAGTAAACCACACAGGAAGCATGACTTCAGGCAACCTGCCTTCTATAATGTTCTGGGGACATACTGGAGCAAACTGAGTGGCATTTTTGATATCTGACCAGGGAGATGGAGGCTCAGGAGGTTGAAAGCGATGCTCCCCGACTGGTGGGGCAGCGTATGGAACCCCAAGAAACTGAATAACAGGCCCCAAAATTTCATTATTAAGTTCTTTCTTAATCCCTCTTATCTTGCCAAAGTTGGTTGTCACCACTGGGTCAGTATCATCCAATTTTTGTGAGGACACAGCTGCAGCATGAAGCAAAAATCCAAGTATACAAAGAGCAAAAGTGGCATCCAATCCCATGTGTAACAGGCGGACCATCATCGCTCTCCATACACAGTTCAGCCACATGGATCTTGGAAGGGTCATAGTCCCACATTAGTTGTATAGTTATAATGAAGCAATATTATTTGTATCCACTTGTGTAAAAACAGAGCAACTGAAGGAAACGAATCAAGTTTCCTAAATAGGAGCCCGTCAAAAAAATCTCAAAAGGCTTTTCACGCAGCAAGTCTCTTCCATTGATTTCACACTTATTGAAGCTGCATCTTCACTCAGCACTATTTATCAGACTACATCCTATTGACAACTGTGTTTTCCATAGCAGCAATATGAAGAGAGTGGCCATTTACTGCAGATTCCCCTCTTATAAATCAAATCCAGTTAGCCGCAGGTCTATATCCTGGAGGAAATGAAAATAAATCATTAGTATGAAAAAGCTAATATGAGCAGAGTGATCAAAAGATGTTTTACAAGTTATGTACATACATTAATAGTTGCTATAGTCATGTAAGTAAAATTCTACAATAGGTAGTTTATGGTTCTATGAAATGATGGGTGAAGTACCGATTGCTGGATTATTTATAATGTCACTTCCTGAGTTTACAGAGTTTTTCAGAAGAAATTGGCCTCATAAAAAATGCAGTTTTAAAATTTACATTTCTGAAAATAAACAAATTGCTGCCAGGTCAGATTAAATATGTTTTTCTGTTCCATTTTATACAACTTAATCAGCCCATAGTCAATTTTAAATTTGTTAGCAGAGGTTGGTTTACCAAGAAGATAGAAACCATAGATCAATTAGAATTTTATTAAAACTCAAGACACACAGTGAATGCAAGTCAGATAGGTATTCTGAATGCTAAAACATTAAGTAACTGTTATTTCATTAAAATAGACTACGTTTATATATACAGAGAGCTATAAATATACAAGAAACACTTATTTGTCCATTTAAAAATGTAGCTTACAATTCAAACACAGAAGCAAAAGGGAAAAAGCCTTTTTTGGAATATTTTTACAATATAATTTAGCATGTTGTATATGATAATCAATTAACCACTTACACCTCTCATAGCTAATGGAAATCCAGGAAGTCTGGATTTTGGTGCTTCTCTGTGTAACACCCCAAGACATTTGGGTTGTGTATGGCAAAGTGTGTGCTTTTGGTTGTATACTGTGTTTTGGTTTTTTTGTGTATGTGTGTGTTTGTTTTATGTGGGCAAGATGGCCCCTATTGTTCTTGCCAAGTGCTCTGCACATGAAAAGCTGGGGACTTGTACCTGAGCCAAATATGTTAAATCCTCTGGCCTCATTGGCCAGGGGGAGCAAAGTCTTTTCAGGCAGATTGGTTAAGAGAAAGACTGGAGTGTGGCAGTCCCTGACTGGACAAGGCCAGGGTGATGGCATGTGGAGGGACCCAAACTACCTGCAGCCCAGACCTAGAAGGTAGGTCTAGCTTTTCCCCTTTTTTTCTTTTGATGGACCTTTGCTCCAGTTAAACTGTGTGATTGGGCCAGCTGTAGCCAGTAATCAACTTGGCTCTGTTTTGGATAGGGACAGACATTACACATAAACCCATTTAAGTAATCAGAAACTGGTTTAAATCAGTAACACAACAGATGTTCAGTGCACATAAACTGGTTTGAAAATGGCGGAAACCAGTTTGAGGAGGACCTGGTTGAATGTAGTATCAGACTTAACTGATTTTGGTCAAACCGGTTTATGCAATGTCTGTTCCAGACCCCTTGCTGGTTTAACATAAACCAGACTTCCCCCAGCATCCCGGTATGTTCTCTGAGCTGGGCTGGGCAGGGCTCTCTGCTCCACAGCAGGGCTGGCACCTCCCCTCTGCTCCCTGGTTGGAGTTCTGGCAGAGACTGCAAGAGTCTGCTTTCCTCTGCTCCCCCCTTCCCCTCTGCTGTACGCAGGGATTTCCCCCTCCCTTCCATACCACATGCTGGCTATGGCCCTTGCTGTGGGAGAGGATTAGCCTTTTTGGAGCTAATCAACAGGTAGCTGGTAATGTCCTTCCTTGGAAAAGCTGTTTATGAAGGGTTTGAACTAATGGAAAGAGGCCATGTTTACTTAACGGGTTAATATACACTGAGTTAGGGGTAATAAACATTCCCTGATGGGCTGCTCAGGACAGGTGGAGAAACCCCTCCCTAATCACAGGTCCTGCTGGGGCCTGGCCACACTTCCCATCCCCCATATCACCATTGTGAAAGGGAAGGGAGGGCTGCTCTAGCACCCCCATGCTTCTAGCCTGAGCCACTGCACCCATATGTCCCAATTTATTCAGTCCAGAATCTTTTCAGTCTGCGTGGTTTCAAACCGGTTTAGCCTAACCAGGTTAGACTAACCTGCAAAGATTGAATTAATTCAGGCTCAGGCTTTTTGAATGTCTGTCGCTAACCTTTGAGTTTGTCCTGCAGTTTTAGTTTCAGCAGGCCATATAACCCAGCCCAGAAGTTTTAGGGTGCATGCATGCTGGCTGGAGCTGCAGTCACCCCTCCCCACACACACACACAAAGCCTCTCTGCAGGAGCAAAGATCAGCACTTTACCACTTCTCCAGGAGCAACAGAGCCCCTTGCAATGCAGAAGGTCCTATGTTCTTGAGCAGATCCCAGTGGTGCAATGAACCCAAGAAGCAGCTCATAGGACTCTCTGGTGTGGGACATCCAGTCCATTGCTGAAGTGCAGATATAGGGGTGCAGGCCCCCAGAACTACCTGTTGGGGAGCTCCAAGTCCAAGACTTCCTGGGTCTGGGTGAAGCCTCCCCCAAGAGGGTGCCACCTATAGACTTTGATTTGTAGTTAATAGTGTTTTTAAATTATATTTAATGTTTCCTTTTGTTTTGTTTTTATTCTCTGTAATAAATTTGGGTGTTTGTGTTTATACTGCTGCAAGGAGGGGGGTTTGTTTATATGGGACACCCCAGTAAATTTAATGTTCCCAGACTTCTAGGTGGGTGTTTCAGCCATAGATATAATTTACTGGGTACCCCGAAATGTGAACCCGGCCCTTCTTGTTGCTGATCAATGCCCGGCAGAAGGGCTACATCTGCAAAGAGACATTCATTACAATAATAAACTTGATTTTCAAAATATTCACAGCAAAGGACCAGATTAAATGACAAAACCCCAATTTACTTCAAAAGGAACTGGGATTGGACTTCAAAGTCTTTTGCTTCAAAAATGATTTGAAGAGGGGAACAGACAGTTGAACAGAGGCATATCTGGGCAGTTTTATGCCCTGGGCCCGGCAGCAGATGAGTCGCTACTGCCATCAGTGGTGCCAGGCTATCAGCGGTAGCAACTGCCATTTTTGTGCACCCCTGAGTCAGCATCTAGGCCCAGTGCCATGCTTCCTCCCCGCTTTCCCCCCTTAAATATGCTATTGTACTGGAGTTCTCATTTTGGGACTTATTGCCCATTCCTGACACACTAATGGCTTCAATGAAAAATGTCAGTGCACAAGGAATGCATACTCACTTCCCTCTGTTCCTAATTTGCAATGCAACAAATACATGCTCCCACAGGACAATTAAAAGTCCTTATTTTTCAGACCCTCACATGTCTTCTGCACAACAGCCCAGAAAAAAAAAAATCTTGTTAGGATCAGAGACTATATAATGTGACTAGTTTTTACTCTGTTTTTGCAATACAGGCAGTGTCACACAGCGTTGTTAGAGACTGCTCAGGGCATACCATAACATTTTCCATATTCATGTTAATCACATTTCTAACACTATTTACAATATACTCTAATTTTAAATGCAGCACAATGTACAATGTAACAGTGTAATCTTACCCTCATTGTTAAATAGTGTGTAATGTACAGGAAATGTATTTTGCTTTGTATAGACAAGATTATGAAACACCTGCTTTTGGAATATCATTGGCAGCTTTAATGAGAATTGTTTTTATCATGTCCATACACATTGTAGATAGAATTCAAAGACGGGCTTGTCTAACAGTTAGACTACCCTGCAGTTTGGGTTATTAAAAAGGAGATTGTAAAAGCTATATAGGACAGCAGGAGATTTGGTTCATGTCTAGTGATTTTTTAGCTCTGCACAATCTATCTGAGAAAGCAATAAGGAGAGAGATGTAGCTTTTTGACAATTTCTCTTTCTTTCGCTCCTAATTCTAACACCTTTACTGTGAAGCTGCATTAACATGCAGAAGACAGGCTTATACCCTTCATTCTTCTGCTTCAGATTCTCAGTGTTTGTTGGAAAAATACAGGTTTTAAATGCACATTTCTGAAGGCTAGCGTATGTATTTATATCCAACGAACTAGACTTGTATAGAAACAGAATCTGGGTAACGCCATCACCAGAGCTGTCATTTCATTGCCGTTTAAGATTTTGCACATAGCAAGGTATTTCTTGGGGAGCAGAACAGACACTGGATTTAGGAGAATGGGGAATGGAAAACAATCCATGAACCTTCAAATTCTGTATAAAGGAAAGTTGCTTCATGTTTTGATGTACAGTGAAGGTCAGTAAAAATGCTCCTTCCCTAAGGATATTGACCAAACTGCACACATTAAATCAATCTTATTAAGTTTTAAAACCCACTTATTCTTTTGTCAGCAGCAAAGACATCAGCTCTATTTTCTCTCCTGAGCTCTGAGACCTCTCCATTTGTAAATAGCAAGTACTTCATTTGAGAAGCTAGCCCAGTAGCTTAGGTGGTCTGGAGAAAGTTTAAGGAGAAATCAAATTTAACAAAGCTGCACCCAAACAATTTCTTCCTTTCTTTTCAATTTGACCTGCTGAGTCAGCTTAACATGGAAAACTACCAACATATACTGTAAATAACTATTCATCTAGCAGACTTTTTTCTCTTTACATCTTAATACTGTTTTTAATTCTATGACAAGCACTTTTTTTGTACAGTAGTGTCAACAAATACAAACCTTGACACTGTGATTTTCTTACAACTAATGTGAAATAAAATAACCAGCAGTAGGCTCCTAATAGTCTAAATGCTGGAGGGTTGGTATCCCTCTTTATCTTTCCTTTTACTTTGCAAATATATATGATCTACCTAAGTTCAGAATAAAACCTAGAGCCAGGCTGTGTTTACGTGTCATTCCATAGGATGGCATGCCTAGCAGCTGAACAGCTACGCTATGGTTAACAACTGTCATTCTGCCACTTTGTGATAAAGTTTTGCTGTAACAAAACATGGAACAGGCCAAAGTAGTAAGAACAGATTGCAATAATATGTTTGGCCACTTTAGTTAATTAATTTACATAAATGGCTAGCTGAAGCCATCAGATTTAGAGGGTAAATAATCCAGTAGGTAAAGACTTGCAATGGCAATGTCCCAGAACCACCCATCCTAGCCTTCAAACAAGCACTGAACCTCGCCAACCTCATCACC